CCCGCTTTGCTTCACCTCCGTCACGAAGAGCTCTGGGGTGCCATAGTAGGGATTCCATATCTTGAAGCTGATTGAATGAACGGTTTTTTCGAAGTTGAAGTTTCGATGGATAGGAGTCTGGGAGTTGTCAGTGTTCTCGTGCATGGTGGTGTAATTCGTTGAAGGTGTAGTCGGAAAAGGAGGTGGAGCAGAAGGTGCATCATAAGGACTTGGTGTTGGTGACGTCGGGTGTGAAGGAGAGCCTTGGTTCATCATGAGTGCCGATGGTGCCGAAGGTGCCGACTCTGGGTTGGCGGCCGCCGGTGAGCCACTGTCAGCACGTCGTGCTGTAGCCGCGGGCATGGGAAGGTCAGCCATCTCGGTGTCGCGCTTGGCGGGGAGCATTGTGAGTCAAGACTCAATATTGTGCGAGTAAACAGCTGCAAGTAAAAGAAGCGTGGTTATAACCGTTGAAAGGTCCGACATCATGATCAAAAGAGTGTCATCACAGGCTCAAGAATAGGTATATGATTAAGGTCAAGTGAATCAAGATTGTTTTCTCAAGGCAAGCGGACATGTGGCTCAAACTTGTGAAGTGTGAGACGTAATGGATAGGGCACCGTCGGTCGAGGATTGAGCGCAGTGGAACCCAAGTAGGATTGTTCACGGGTTCGCCATAGTGGTCGCCATTCTTCGAGAAGTTCAATGATGGTCAAGTTGTGGTCAATCTGGACAACATCTCCCTCTATATCCTGGTAGCGGAGTTCCAATTGCTGGGCTCGAAAAGAAGTTCCAAAGGTCCAGAAAATGTGATTGATAACTGCTTCCTTGATCTGGTGCATGTTGGTCGAGTATATGCTATTGGTAGAGAAGACTCGGCGCCAACGGAAAAGAGAGCAACGTTCAGGAAGTGTCAAATGTTCGTAGAGTAGAGGGCAGAGAAGATCGATGCCTGGTGGTCGGTCGTAGTATTGGTAACAATAACGTGAGAGTTCTCGGAAGTCAACAAAGACAATCACGTTGCGCGACTGCGGGGCCGTGGCCTCCAAGCTGGATGTTCTCGTCTCAGGAGATGAGGTAGTAGGATATGGATTGGATCGCCGATTCCATGGTCCAGCCATTGGGTGGTGAAAAACATCGAAAGGTGAAGAGGAAATGGCTAGAGCGAGAATAATAATAATAATAATGATACAAAAAGTCATAGCGAGTTGAAAGCCATCCAAATAAGGTGACAAGTGACGACAAATCAGAGCAAACACTAACGCAACAACTCTTTTTTTGATCATCAGAGGCTGGGCTGCGATGGTTTGGTGTCCATGGCCGATGAGCTCGACGAGGTTAATGGTGTAGAAGGTGGTTGACGAATAAGGAGTCGAGACGGAGTCAATGGTAAAGACATCAAGGGGGTTGCCAAAGGTCGTGGGGACGATGTAGATCGTGGCAAAGATGATGTAGGATCCCCTTGGGAATGGTAATTGGCCGATCTTCCCCAGCAATGACGAAGAATATGAGAATGATCTGGTATCCACGATGCAGGTTGATTGGTGGAAAAGTTCGAATGGCAAGGATGCGGAAGAATAGGGTACTGTTGGTGAGGAGACGTAGAATGATCACGTTCCGGAATGTCGTAGAAGCGACGCCACTGGTTCGCTGATTGTCGGAGAGTCAAATCATCACGAGGGTGTCCCATATTTTGGAGGAAAGACTCAACAGTACGCCATTGTTCATGACCTTCGGTGTCCACCTCCACAATCCATAGTTCAGCAAGGCGATCAGAAAAAGGGTATGTAATGCGTTTGAAGTAGATAGTGTGAAGGAGCTCGGTCTGAGGTACTTGACGACTCATGCGAGGTAGGTCCGTATATCGGAGAGGGCGTGGTGAGCTCGGAGCAGGCGCCATCACTACGTCAGGTAGAAAGTCGAAATATTGAGGAAGTCGAAGCTGC